TGCATTGGTGGGGGGTTGGAGCTTCGTGATCCTTGAGCTCCCTTCCATCCCAACCCATTCTGTGATGCTGTGATTCTGCGAGCAGCCATGAGCTCACAGCCTGCTCAGGTGTGTAAACCTACAGCCTGCTGTGGGTCTTGGCTCCCATCTGTGTTTCTATTAGCACTGCCCCAACCCAGTGCTGCACTCAGCCCTAGGAAGCTCACAGGTTCTCCCGTGCCCACTTCTGGAGCCTCCCATGTCCCCCTGGATGCCGTCCCCCCCTTCCACTGCACCACAGCCCCACTCAGCTGGCTGCCATCAGCAAACCGCCTGTGCCACTGCTAGCAGTGCTGAAGAGCATCAGCCCCACGACGGACCTCTGGGGCACAGCAGCAGTCCCCACTTGGCACACAGAGCCTCTGAGCACCACCCAAGCATCCTTCCCCACATCACATCACCTGCTGTGCTCCTCCCACTGCCCCCATACCTGACTGAGCCAGGCGGTCCCTGGCGTTGTGGCACTGGATCTGCTCGATCCTGTTGCACAGCGACGTCACTTTGGTGTGCAAGCGCTCCAGCTCATATGTGGAACAATCCAGCTGGAAGCAAAGGAGAGCAGACAGGGCTGAGAGCCACCCAGATCCTCCTGCAGGGATCACCCCAACCACCAGGCCCCATCTGTACCACCAAATGCACCTGAGAACCTGAGATGAGCACCTGAAGGGCCACAGGAGAATCCTGGAACTGAATTAAACAGGACTGGGCTCGTTCAGCCTGGAGAAAAGCAGGCTGTGGGGTGACCTCAATGCAGCCTGCAGTGCCTCAAGGGAGCCTGCAGCCAGGAGGGGAGTCAGCTCTTGGAAAGGGGAGATGGCAGCAGGACAAGGGGAAATGGTTTGGAGTTGAGGGAGGGCAGCTTGAGGTTGGATGTCAGGGGGAAGTTGTTTAGAGAGAGAGTGGTGAGGTGCTGGAACAGCTGCCCAGAGAGGCTGTGATGCCCCGTCCATCCCTGGAGGTGTTCAAGGCCAGGTTGGATGGGGCCCTGGGCAGCCTGGGCTGCTGTGAGATGGGGAGGTTGGTGGCCCTGCATTGGTGGGGGGTTGGAGCTTCGTGATCCTTGAGCTCCCTTCCACCCCAAACCATTCTGTGATGCTGTGACATGCAGGCTCCTTGCTGAGCACCTCCCTCTGCTCCTCTTTCACTAAGCTCCCACGTGCTGCAGGGCAGAGCACGCCTTGTTTGACATTGCCTACCAGCTCTGTACTTTCAGAGGTGCTCACATCTGCAGGACACAAACCAGCCTCAGCATGGTGTAACGTTATTCTAAAAATGAGGCTCTGTCTGAACTGCAGGAAACCCCACAGGAAGAAAACCACTCATCTCAGTGTTACCTGCTGAATCCTATCCACCATCTCAATGACACGGATGTAGTCCAGGTAGACCAGCCCTGCCAGCTCCCAGTCCTGGATGAGTGCGCTGCGCTCCGGAGGGGAGAGATCTTCCAGGAAGCCTTTCAGGTATTTGTAGTTCTCGTTAATAATGGCATCTAAGGAGAACAAATATAAGCAGTTAAGCCAACGGGTTCCTTGTACATGTGCTGCTAAAGGAAACCCCTCTGTGATGTGCCTGCACTGTCACAGTTCAGCTGTGGCTGGCAGCGTTCCCTTGATTTGTGATACGCAGAGCCTGAGGCCACCCAGCACCCCAACCTCCCCAGAACCACAACCCCCATGGCTCAGTGCTGGACCCAAAAGGTGGGTGTGCAGAGGACCGAGCAATCACTCTTCTCACACATTCGTGGTGAAGAACCACTGCCCCAGGGACCAAATGAGCTACTCTAGAACAGCCAGCCGTCCTGAATTCACCTCCCTGCCAGGAACAGTGCTGCCCCTGCACAGCTGTGACACCACAAACACAGAATGGTTGGGCTGGAAGGGTGCTCAAGGATCACAAAGCTCCAACCCCCCACCAATGCAGGGCCACCAACCTCCCCATTTCACAGCAGCCCAGGCTGCCCAGGGCCCCATCCAACCTGGCCTCCAACACCTGCAGGGATGGACGGGGCATCACAGCCTCTCTGGGCAGCTGTTCCAGCACCTCACCACTCTCTCTCTAAACAACTTCCCCCTGACATCCAACCTCCAGCTGCCCTCCCTCAACTCCAATCCATTTCCCCTTGTCCTGCTGCCATCTCCCCTTTCACAGAGCTGACTCCCCTCCTGTCTGCAGGCTCCCTTCAGGCACTGCAGGCTGCACTGAGGTCACCCCGCAGCTTCTCTTCTCCATGCTCAACAAGCCCAGCTCCCTCAGCCTGTCTTTGCAGGGAGGTGCTGCAGCCCTCTGCTCATCTTTGTGGCTCCTCTCCAACAGCTCCCTGTCTTTCTTGTGCTGGGTTCTCCAGCCCTGGATGCAGTGCTGCAGATGGGGCCTCAGGAGGGCAGAGCAGAGGGGGACAATCACCTCCCTGTCCCTTCTGGCCACCCCTCTGCTGCTGGAGCCCAGGATCCCGTTTGCTTTCCGAGCAGCAGCAGCACTGCTGCCTCCATCACCTCTGTTCCCATCACATTCCTGCACACTGCTCCAAACAGAATGGGACAAACGGTTCCCGGCTCACCTGATGCGAGGTGCCGCACAACCAACTTGTGGCACTGGTTCCAGTGCCCGGCCTTGAACAGGAACAGGGCTTCTTTATGCTTGTCGCCCTCCATCCGGGCTCGAACAGCCTTTGCTTTGTGGATCCACTCGGCAGGGACGCAGAGGCGCTGTGTCAGGAAGGTTTCCTTGGCCCACGACTCGGGGCTGTCGCACAGAGCGCAGTGGCGGCCCAGCAGCTCCCGCACGGCCTTCTCACGCAGGCTGCAGGGAGCAGAGGACAGGATGCCGTTCCATCACAGCACATCTCAGCACGCTGGGCTCGAAGGATCTCACGGAGCCCAGCCCCACTGCAGCCGTGTGCCCTCGGCTCAGGGTCCTGCTGCCCACCCACGGCCTCGGGCTCCTCCAGGATGGGAGCCAGGGCTCCAAGCAGCAGCTGGGCGAAGGTTTCCCCTCCTGACCCTCCCTCCTTCAGCTTACAGCCATCCTCCCCCTCCTGCCCGCACCAAGCTGCTCTGCTGCTGACAAGCTGCCCTCAGGCACTGGGAGGAATCACAGCATCAGGAGCTGGGCTTCCACAGCAGGCACTGCGCCGTGCTGTTGGCTGCAACAGAGGCACAGCTCTGCAAGGCCAGCCCTCTGCTTCAGCAGCCTTCAACAGGACGCTGAGAGAAACTCTAACACCAGCTGCATTCCTTCAGCACACCCTGAACACTACTGAGGTGTCACTGATGCTCTGCTACGCCTTCAGCACTGCAGCTGAAAATGACTTCAACGTGACTCACAGCCCTCAAGTCAGATATGGGCTTAACTGAAGCTGTGGGTTGGAAAAACAACGTCGAGATGTAATAACTGCACCTAACAGCAAGAGGCACCCTTGCAAAAACAATGGTGCTGGTTACAATTTTAAGATAATTCTCTTCTCCATGCTGAACAAGCCCAGCTCCCTCAGCCTGTCTTTGCAGGGAGGTGCTGCAGCCCCCTGCTCATCTCTGTGGCTCCTTTGGACCCTCTCCAACAGCTCCCTGTCTTTCTTGTCCTGGGGTTCCCAGCCCTGGACGCAGTGCTGCAGATGGGGCCTCACAAGAGCAGAGCAGGGGGGCAAATACAATTCACAACAAAAGCAAACCCCTGTTTCAGCAGGGATCCCATCACACACACTTCTACCTCTTCCCTTTGGATCTGACCAGAGACACAATTCTGCACTAATGCTGCTCTCAGGCCAGGCTCTGCAGTGCAGCAAGCTTCACGAGCTGCAGCACATGAGCCACCTCAGCCAGTCTGGTTCCTACGTTTGACAGTTCAGCAGTCATTACAGCACTGTGTGACACCTAACGAGGGACCTGGAGCTCCGACACACTGCTCTGCATGCAGTGACACTGCAGCTCCAGCACAACCAGCAGCTGTGACAGCCATGCTCTACAGATCAGAGACTGGTTGCTATTTTTGCCTTGAGGATGACGCTCACTTACTGGGTATCAGGCTCGTGCAGCACCACAAACACAGCCCATTCCCACAGGCCTTCGCTCTCCAGCTGGGCAGCATAGCTGGCATTCAGCACGCCCTGCCCCTGCCTGCACAAGTGGCTGTAATTGAGGGCACGCAGCACCTCCCACAGGTGCCAGCTGAGGCGATAGTCCATGGGGTCACACGTGATGCTCCTGGGATCCAGCAGCTGGTCCAGATCGTAGTGCCTGGAGGAAACAACGCGTGCCACATTAACAGCTAATGGTGCAGGCATCACAGAAGCAGAAATCAGCGCCGTTTGGTTCCCCTCCTTCCCCCACCTCCAGCTGTTCCACAGAGCAAGCTCCATTCTTGGCTTTCTGTCTGCCTTTTTAAAGAAGGAACGACTGGGAATGGTTTTAAAGTGAGACAGGGGAGGTTTGGGTTGGATGTGAGGAGGAAGTTTTGGAGGCAGAGGGTGGTGAGGCAGTGGCACAGGTTGCCCAAGGAGGCTGTGGATGCCCCATCCATCCCTGCAGGCATTCAAGGCCAGGCTGGATGTGGCTCTGGGCAGCCTGGGCTGCTGGTTGGCGACCTGCACACAGCAGGGCTTGGAGCTGGATGAGCGCTGTGCTCCTTTGCAACCCAGGTCGTTCTGTCATTCTATGAACTGCTCAAGTGCTTTTGCTCCTCCTTCGAGTCTGCACCCAGACTGCCACAGCCCTCGGGTGCCCCTGTGCTCCCTCTGCAGGCTGCTCTGTGCCTTCAGAGAAAGCAAGATTACAGCAGGAAGCACTCAGAAAACAACAAAATCGTGTTTCTAAGCTCGTGTTTAACCACCAACAGACAGCAGCACCACATGCTGTAATGCCATGCTGGCAAGGCAGATTTTTCACCACCTTAAGTGAGTGCAGCGAATAGCAAAGTTAATTACACACATCTCATTTGGGAGGTCACTGCCTTACCAAGGCTCTTCTAAACCACGTTGGAACCATTCCCCCACTCACCTGTCGCTGTAGAGCTTTAACAAATGGAAACAGACATCTCTGAGAGGTCTTCCTGCATTATCATCTTCCTCAATCACACAACCAGAGCCTTCCAGGTAAGGAGGCAGGGGGCAGCAGGCGTATTTCTCAGACTCTGATGTGGTCTAAACAAATTGTTTTGTGGGTGAGTTTACAGACAGCACACCTTACCCTGCATACAACGCTCACACTACTGACTGCTGCAGCATTAAACCTCTCATTAGGAGGGCAGACCTGAGGCTGTGCTTGGGCAATCCTTAGGGACTGCCAAGCTACCTCCAGTTAAATGATTTCATACTGTATTTTCTAGTTCACAGCAACACAGCTCGCATGACACACGCAGCCACACACCGTCTGCAGGAGCTGGGGATGCAGCAGAGCAGTGGCTTGGTGAGGAGCACTTCAGCAGACAGCTGAGCATGAATCAGCACAGCAGGAAAGCTGAGCAGCCACCACAAATGGCCTCTGTGCTGGTGGCCACCACCCACCTCCCTGCATCTGTCTCACTGTAAGCAGGTGGGAGCTGAGCTTGAAACAAGTCACTGACACAGCAAGAAGAAGAGGAGGGCCCGTGCTTCTCAGGAAAGTCACCTGGAGGCTCAACCTCAGTGATTTACTTCCACTCCACCGAGGGAAAAGGGAGATCCACACCAATGTAAGCTGCTGCACAAATGCATCCCCAGCACCAGGGGCTGCTCACAACACTCAGCTCCATGCAGCACCAGTCCACAGCTCCAGCCAGGACCAGGAAAGCCTCTCAGCCAGGCACGCTGACCTACCTGAAATGCTGCCTCGTACATGGCAAGTGCCTGGGAGATGGAAGCTGTTGGAGGCAGGAGGTACCAGAGGTGGACGGCCATGCAGCGCTTCCAGTCCAGCTGTGAGCACACATTGATGCTGGTTCTCTCAGACAACTGCCACACCTGGAGGATCACACAAGTCACACACAGGTTGGTGCACGGGGGACAAGAGGCAGCACACAACATAGTAAGTCCATCAGTAAAACAGACAGAAAACCCCAAAGGTCAGTTTGTGTTCATTTCTGCCATGTATCACACTGGGATTGACCATCAGAATGTTAATGACTGCTGTCAGGAGGCAGAGCCAAATCAAGGAGCCATCTGGAGTACTTTGGGGCCCCAGTACAAGAAGGACAGGGAGCTGTGGGAGAGGGTCCAGAGGAGCCACAAAGATGAGCAGAGGGCTGCAGCACCTCCCTACAAAGACAGGCTGAGGGAGCTGGGCTTGTTGAGCATGGAGAAGAGAAGCTGCGGGGTGACCTCAGTGCAGCCTGCAGT